TCTGGGCCCTGGGGTCCCCTCAGGCCCAGGATCCTGGAGGTCAGAAGTGGTCCTGAGGTGTTTCCGTGTGTCTAGTGAAGAAGGTCAAATGGTGAGATGTCCCTGGGCACAGGGGCTGGCCTGTCCACATGTCTGGAGATGAGAGTGAGTTGGAAGAGCTCAGGGAGCAGCAGGACTCTGCTTCGTGGACTGATGAAAAGACTGAGGGCGGGACTCGCTCCTGGGACGGCAGCCTGGGGAGCTGGGGCTCTCCTGAGGGTGTGGGGGCCGTGCCGGGTTTGCAGCAGAGGGGGGAGTGGTCTGCCTCTGGGTCTGAAGAGGCTGCTCTGCCTGCCAAGGGGAGGAGATTGTGGGGGTGAGGGTGGAGCCAGGGAGACCCAGTGGAGGGACAGTCCTGGTGAAGGTCCACTGAGACTGGATCCCAGCAGTGGCTCTGTAGCAGGAGAGGAGGTTCGTTTCTGTCTCGTGTGTGAGTAAAGGTGACTTTCTGCTGTACAGGGTGAGGGACAGTGGCCTGACACGACCCCACGACGTGTGCCTTCAGGGGAGAGTGGAGATGCCGTTTCTGAGATGGGAAGCCAAAGTAGGAGTGGTTAACAGAAGTGCTAGCCAGAGTGCCGCATCGCCAGGCTGAGCGTGAGGTGTCGGGGGGCGAGTGGAAACACCTCTGGAGGTCAGGGAGGGCGGTCAGGCTTGAAGGTGCTCCTGAGCAGGTGGAGAGCACGTGGCCCAGGTCAGGTCTGAGCTCACAGGTCGTGGGGGCGATGGCATGAAGGTTGTGGGGGAGGAGGGTCTTCTCCGTGGACTGGCTCACTTGTTGGGCAGTGGGACAGGGGTGGGTGTCATCACTGACGGATGCGTAGGTACAGTGACCATGAGTGTGTGTGCTGGGGCTGTGAGGGCCTCAGGTGCATCCTGGTCGCGGCACAGGATCCTAAGGGGTGGAGAAGGAACTACTGAGAGGGACCCGGAGGTGAGGCCTGGGGCATTATCTCCCCTCCGCAGGCTCGGGTTTGTGGTAAGTGCTGCTGGAGCCTGAAGACTGTCAGACTGGCTGGCCTGTGCTGAGGGGGTGTGGGGAACACAGTGAGACGCCCGGGGCCTGGAGCAGAGGTGGCAGTGTTGGGGTGGGGGTGGGGGTCATGGTCTGCGGGTGCGGGAGGTGAGATCCTCCCCGCTGGGCCGTGGGGAGGGAGTGTGAGGATGACTCGGGGCCCTTGTGCTCAGGTTTCCTCCAGGAGGCTGAGTGCCAGTGTCATGGTTGGTGGCTCGGTCTGTGTGATCCCAGGAGAGCCGAGCGGAAGGAGAGTAACTGGGCGGGTGTGCGGCAGCCCAGAGCACCTGTGAGACCGCCCCTCCCTCTCTGGCTTAACTGAATGATCTGAAGATGGCGGTCTCTGTGGCATCAGTCTCCACTCTGAGGGGGGCCCTGGGTGGACACCCATGACCTGGGGTCCTGGTTCCAGAGGCTGCCGTGAACTCACCTGTCCCCCTCCTGACAGGGCCCTGTGACCTTTGAGGATGTGGCTGTGTCCTTCTCCCAGGAGGAGTGGGGGCTCCTTAGTGATGCTCAGAGGCTGCTGTACCACGACGTGATGCTGGACACCTTGTCCCTTCTAGCCTCCCTGGGTAAGGCCCCGCGTTCCCACGCCCTCCCCTGTGCTGGGCTCCGCCTTCTTTCTGCGTGACACCCCCGCCCCCGCCTTCCCAGCCTGGACCGTGGGCGCTGCTGACTCCCTGATGTCCTGGCATTTGGCTGTTTCCCCATCCTGTGTGCGCGCCGTGTCCCCGGAAGCCGTTCGCAGAAGGCGCTGGGCTCCGAGGCTGGAAGCCTGCGCGTCCGCCTCCAGTTTGTCTCCCCGCTGCTGCCGCGCTGAGTGTGGAGACGTGGGGGGGGGGGTCTGCATCACAGGCTCCGCCTCCTGTTCTGTGCCCTGCCTGCCCCCTGGGTCCCAGATACTTACCGCTGAGCATTTGTGGTCCACACACACTCTTGTTTTTCAGTATTCTCCCCACGGTTCCTACAGCAGTAAATATCTTTCCTCCAGTCTGTCATTGGTTGATTCCCTCTGGGCCAGTGTCTTTCTCATAGTGGCCCTGTTTTCCTGTGAGGACTTGGATCTGGTAGGTTCCACGGCCACCCATCCTGAGCTGAGGGGTGGAGGCAGCCCTGGGTGCCTGACGAGGCAGACACCTCTCTAGACACAGGAAGAGGGTTGACTGGATCCGGGGCTGTGAAGAGGAGCTGTAGGAAGGCGTGGCAGCATCCGTCAGCCTCATCCTACAAGCAGATGTCCTTTGCTC